AGTCAGAAAACGTAAAGAAAAGTAAACGACATACATACAGCAAGATCAATTTCATTTATGGCAAGCCGTTTTGACTTTTATTCATTCTCAGGATATGAATTCTTGATATCAACAATTCAATTTTTACTAGTTAAAATGTTAATTCTTGATATCAGGAATTAGATTTCTACTAGTAACAATTGCTATTTTTGATATCAGCAATTACATTTCCACGAGTAACAATGTTAATTCTTGATATTGATATCAACAATTCAATTTTCACTAGTTAAAATACTAATTCTTGATATCAGGAATTACATCATCACTAGCAGAAATTGAATTCTTGATATCAGCAATTAAATTTCTACTAGTAAAAAATATGATTCTTGATATCAATAATTTATATCCAGGGAATGGCAAATAGGCAAGCCGTATTGACTTTTATTCATTCGCAGGATACGAATACTTGATATCAGCAATTCAATTTTCACTAGTTAAATCAAAAACATATATAAAGCTATGCAAAATATTTTAACTAGTAAAAACTATAATTCTTGATATCTGTAATTGTATTTTTACTAGTTAAATGTCACCATAGGCTACCATTCAAATTTAATTGTTGATATCAAGAATTGATTTCTTCAGAAATACAATTCCTTCTAGTGAAAACCTTTATTTTTGATATCAGTAATAACATGGTTACTAGTACAGACGTCTATTCTTGATATCAACAATTTAATTGTCACTAGTGACAATGTTCACCAGTTGATATCTGAAATTGCACTTGCAACTAGTGAAAATAGAATTACTTTTATCTTAAATAACATTTTAACTAGTAAAAATACTTTTACAGATATGTAGAAATGCCATTTTTACAGGTAAGAATAGCTATGGTAATGAGATCATGAATATTAATGTCAATGAAACATGAAAATTATATTATGGCTGGATTTTTTTTTTTGTTAATTGTTTTAAAAAAGTAATTTCATCCGGTTTCTTTTTATTGACCACCAGGTCCTTCGGATAATTAAAGGAAAAAATGAACAAGGCATTCATTTAGCTTTAACATAAAAAAATAACTTCATGTCGTTATTTCATGTTTATTTTTGTTTTCATTACACTTTCTTCTAATACATCAAATAAAAAAATACAACCAAAATTAAAAATAAAACAGATTTTACTGGCCTTTTTTCTTTTTCTTTTTTAATATCGTTGTATTAAGGCTACATGAATGAGTCGTCATATTGCATGCCCAAATTCGTGCCGGCGTTTCTCTTTGTTTTAAGGTGGGTGCGTTTGTTTTGTTTTTTTTACTGTACATTTTGATGTATTATTATACCCACACATTTGTTGAGCCGACATATTTGCACTCTCTGCTCGGATTTTCTTGACCATTGGGACCAAACGTGATACACACTGTAATGTCCTAATAGGCATTATTTTTATATCCAGTTCTTGAAGTATCGGTGGACAAAATGAATGATAAAGTCTATTGAACCTCTTTCTCATGTCTGTCTTAGCCATTTCAATGTTACGTTAAATATGGCACTGCACTGATACACTCTTTTGAAAGTTAAGACATGAATAACAATCTCTTAATTGTAGTGGGTTCGGAGAATGGACAATGATTTAATAAGAATTGTGTAATCTTGCCCATCTGGTTCATTGCTTATTATTATTATTATTATTAGGCTATTTTATATTATTATTATTATTATTATTAGGCTATTTTATTAGGCTATATTGTTGTTGTTGTTTTACTTTGTAACTATAAATGAGTTTACTTAAGACCTAACAACAATTGTATCCTTAAATAATTTATGAAAACTGTATTACTGTATGAAATAAACATACACAATTACCAATTAAAGTTACATAAGTTACTTAGTTAAGAGCAGTGAGTGCTTCTCTGTTTTTCCTTTGTTGTTTTATTAACAATATTAGCGTAATATAAGAAATGCATGGATCCATTATACTGACACACATTAATATTTTCTTAACTGTTAAGACGTAACCGACTGTGTTTACTTGGATACTCGTCAAGACAGTTATTGTGACATAATATTGTGTATATTTTAATATTGTGTGTGCACAATAACGATATCACAGCGCGTGAATACCACATTGAGATCTCACTCGTGCCATCTTGCCCTTAAAAGCGAGAATGATAAACTTTCATGAGGAAGCAGCACTGGTCTGATCGTTCAGATAGCTGATTATAGTTTTAGGGGTGTTTACTTGGATACTCGTCAAGACAGTTATTGTGACATAATATTGTGTATATTTTAATATTGTGTGTGCACAATAACGATATCACAGCGCGTGAATACCACATTGAGATCTCACTCCTGCCATCTTGCCCTTAAAAGCGAGAATGATAAACTTTCATGAGGAAGCAGCACTGGTCTGATCGTTCAGATAGCTGATTATTGTTTTAGGGGGCTGAGACGACAAATAGGGGGGCTGAAGCAGGCACGTGCACAGGTAGGGCTCAACCTGTGCAGAGCACATGCCCTTTTTGCCCTTACACTCCGAAGTGCCCTTTTTTTGGTGATGGTGTTTTTTTTTTCCTTCAATAAATCAATGATATTGTTTACCCTTTACATCTGTCTGTCTGCTTTACAAATATTTAGCTAATGAAAGGTATTAAAAAGAGCTTGTGACTAAATCTTGTGATCTATGAGCATTTCACATATTTCTATGGACACTAATAATATGAAACTACTGTCGCTACACTACGGTTATACACATTTATTGCATTTATTTTCAATAAAACTGAAACAGGCTTAGAAGACTCCTTATCCTGTGGCTCGCTCTAGTGGATAAAATTAATATCGCAGCCTTCATCTTCAAGTTGAAATGGCTGATAGTTTAGAATTTGATTTTGGCAGGGGCTATCTACTTAGTGGAAATAGTGGCCGATATCTGCACCTCATTATTGTTGTAGGCTACATTATAAAACAGTATACAATAATAACGTATTGAATGTAAATGATAATTTTTATTAAAATTATTAAATGGATGCAGCCCCTACAACTAGCCCTAACCTTAACCAATATCCACACGTTATTTTCCACTTTTCGATAATTTCCTTCATTTGTATTGAAAATATATGCCTTTCCGATGTGATACGGGATGTGAAAAGGGAGAAGAATGAGTTCTGCAGAAGGCGGAATCGAACTCGGGTCCATCGTGTCAAAAAACAGCTGCTTTGAGCTTTACCACCTGTGCCACTGAAGCAGACAATTGAGAGATGTTTTTTTGCACTGTTGAGTAACACTACCACACCTTGGTAGGCGGAGTTAGTTTGAGTAGCCTCTGCCAAAATGAAAACAAAAGAATTATTAAAAATAGCCAACAGGAGCATTTTATTTTCATGAGAGGGCAATCGAATGTGCCGTTCTCTTTTGGGCTCTGTACCTTGTCGTCTATAAACATTCATTAAGGGCGGCACTCTTCATTAAATTATGCACATATCCAAAAAGGAATTCATTACAATGCACATATCCAAAAAGGAATTCATGATATCAGAAATAACAATTTTTACTAGTGAAAATTTAATTTTAACATGTAAGAATTAAGTTACAGATATCAAGAAGTATGTGTAGTTGTAATTTCATTTTTGATATGATAAACGTATTTCTGCGAGTGATGACGTCATTTTTGATATCAAGAATTCGTGTTGGTACTAGTGGAAATGTAATTCCTGATATCAAGAATTAAATTCTTGATATCAACAATTCATATGTTTAAATGTTAAAAGGGCGACAAAACTATTACAGATATCAAAAATGCATTTCTTACTAGTTACAATTCTAAATGCACATATCAGCTTTGTATTTCTTACTAGTAGAAATACAATTTTTGATATCAACAATTACATTTTTACTAGTAACAATGTGAATTCTTGATATCAAGAATTCATTGTCACTAGTTGAAATGTTAATTCTTGATATCAACAATTTAATTGTCACTAGTATGGCAAGCCCTTTTGACTTTTATTCATTCTCAGGATATTAACAATCACATTCATGATATCAGAAATGAACATTGTCACTAGTGACGATTAAATTGTTGATATCAAGAATAGACGTCTGTACTAGTAACCATGTGATTACTGATATCAAAAATAAAGGTTTTTACTAGTAAGAATTGTATTTCTAATATGTGAATATGTAGTACATGTGATATGTAGTAAGAAATTAATTCTTGATATCAACAATTGATTTTGAATGGCAGCCTATGGTGACATTTAACTCGTGAAAATACAATTACAGATATCAAGAATTATAGTTTTTACTAGTTGAAATGTAATTCCTGATATCAAGAATTAGTAAGTAGATATCAAGAATTAAATTGTTGATATCAAGAATTACTAGTAGAAATCTAATTCCTGATATCAAGAATTAACATTTTAACTAGTAAAAATTGAATTGTTGATATCAAGAATTCATATCCTGAGAATGAATAAAAGTCAAAACGGCTTGCCATAGCCCGTCACGTGGGAGCCTCCTCGCGCTCACTTTAGGTGATGACAGCATGTTGAGATCATGCGGATGACGTAATGTCGCTAAACTGCAACAGTGTGTGATACATTTTATTCAATTACCGATGACTCATTATTCAGTATATTTAATTATTACCCTTTACAGATCTTTTGAAACAATAAAATAACTATAGTATATCATTGTTAAAAATACCACATTATCAACATTTGTGAGAACTGTCAGCTGAAAGATATTATTTTTTGCTCTTGTGTAGCTTGTTCTTAGGCGCTTACGACTGAAAATAAATAAATAAAATAAATATAACCAGAATATATTTAGTCTAGCCGAGTGAATTTCACTGGAAGAGTAGCCTACAATAAAGAAGTATTCAGACATTTCCTCTAGGAAGGTGTGCACGTTGTTATGCTGCAGACTTTCTTTCCCTTGCCAAAAATTAAACAATGAAGATGATTATGGTGTGACGCAATACGCTCCGTAGCTGGTGCCCCTCCCTCACAGCGGCGGCGGCGACAGCGCTCGAGCTCAGGAGGAAAGTCTCACGCCTCTCCTAGTCTGTATAACCGACCACAGACACTCTTCATTACAGGAAGAAAGAAGCGCCAAACTCTGGAATTTGAGCCTTTTCCTCGTTTTTAAGCGAAGTAGGATACGTACAGTAAGACGTTGCCAGTGTAGCAGAATCAAATCCACGGACAGCCAGAGTGCGATCACCTCAGGTGAGACATTCTGCACATATTTCACAGAGCTCAAGCGGATGATCTCAGGCAGCTGTAATAGCGGTAAAACGGTCCTTCACTTTTAGCAAGCCACTTTATCGCGCTTGAGATCTTTTAATCATAAAACCACGAAGACCTATTTATTGGTTTCCTATTTCTTTACTCACCGTTTGTAGTTTAGTGGCCTGTTTTGTGCGTGCTTATCCAAACAGTCTTTAAGTGTTCACTGGATAATGTTCTTCCAGATTAATGTTACACTGACACGATTCATGTTGTGGTTTTACTTAGTAGCTGAATATCAGTGGCAGTATTATTCATTATCTTGGAGTTTCCCCCTTTGTGTCCGGAGCAATGTCAGTGTTTCCGTGGCCATTATAGCGATGTCCAAATCGTGAACGAATTGTTCTGTTGAGTTGGAACTTTTAATGAATCTTTTGAACCGGTTTACATATCTGTCCGAGCAGTTCGCGAGTCAACTACTCACTGAACTGACTCATTAAACTGATTCATCTCTTTTGGATGTGTCCGATCACAGTGAACAGAAGGGCTGAATGAGCTTATAGTCAAGTGGAGTGAACTGAGGATTTGAAGGGGGAAAAAGTTACAAGCGTAACAGTAAACGTTACAAATAAATGCAATGGAAATGCAATATGCTTACAGCTTCATTGTATGGCCGTTTTATTAACCCATACGAAACAAATAAGAGATGGCCACAGAACTTCTGGTGCAGCACAGTGTATGGAAATTGTGAGAAAATCCAGCACAAAATGTAATCTTAAGGAAGTGTTACATGACAGTACAAAGTAATATTGTACGAATCACCTTTACACTAAAGCTATGTAGAGCTTCTTGAACTCATAATTATGGTTGTATGGTTTAACATAATATATTAAAATTTTATTTTTTACTAGTTAATAATATATAAAATATAGCTACTGTATTATAATATAATGTAATTTATGACAGAAAGAGTTTGCTACTACCATAGCTTGTTATGAGAGAATGCTATACCAGAAGCTTGCGTACTACAGTGGAAATATATATTTTTAATTTGATTATATTATTCATAATGCTTAAATTTTGTCAACACCACCAAAATGAATACTAACATCTCAAAGCTGATGCACTCAATGTGTTGCTTGCTTTGACTATTGCAGTGAGGAGGGAAACAGTGATACACTGAAGCCACTCAATGGAAAACAAAGTCCAGATGTACTAGGATAGGTCTTCTGTCTAACTTGAATGTGATGTTATTTTTTTAAACCAGTTTTTGAAAGGAACCCATCAAGTAGAGAAAATCTGTTGGATGTGGCATCGCATTTGACTGTGTAGTAAATGAAAAGAGGAATTATTCCAGTTGATTATTAACTCTGATACATTGATCAATTCTTAATCCTCTAATTAGAAATCATTGTATCTAAAATGGTTAAAGATCTGGGCTTGTTCTGAAAGATTTTGGGTTCAAATCCCTTTAGAGCACTAATTATCACCGTTGTGCCACTTTAAATTGGTCATTTAGGGGTTAACATTAATTGTTCGTTTTTATTTATTTATTTATTTATTTATTTTTAACATTTCCCAGTTCTGCACCATTTAATTCACACGTAGGTTAAACATAAGACCTATCCCAGAACATCTGGACTCTGTTTTCCATTGAGTGGCTTCACAATATTACAGTTTTCCCTCCACATTGCAATAGTCAAAGCAAGCAAAACACTGAAAGTATCAGCTTTGAGATGTTCTAGTATTCTGCCCGATTTAATATTCATTTTGGTGAGCATTTGGTTTTATGTTGTTGACACAAAATTGAACATCACGAAAGTTGTTTGATATTTGATAGGGGACTTTACATGAATATATGAGATGTTCACAAGAGCCTTCCTGGAAAAAAGGCTTTACTGAAGTGAATGGCCACTTGCCTTGTCTCCCTGCATATTCACGTCCGACCTGTTTTTATGTCATATTATCTTATATCATGTTTGGTTCAGCAGCAACTCCAGGTGGCTCTAGCAGATAGTGTAGCTGTAGAAAGCATTGCATTGTGGGGCCTGTAGTGTTTTATTTGCAGTTTATGAAGCATTGTTATTTATTTTTTGTATGCATTTACTCATTCATTAGGTCACTTGTGTTCTGACTCATCATCGCAGCATTGTGGCAAAACAGGTTTTAGATTTCACAATGTTGCTCAGAATAAAATGCCAGGAAATGCTAAACATGGGTGTTGCTGTCGTTAACATGTTTGCGCAGGCACACAATCAAAACAGTGTTGCGCTTTGTTAATTTAACCTAGCATTTCAGTACATCCGAACTGAGGATATGGAAAGCAAGAGGGAAGCAGTCATGCATGTTATTGCCTTGTACAAGAAAGGTGACTTGTCTCGTCAGAGAGCGTAAGCCAGGGAATCAAAAGCAAATATAGTCAGAGCAGAGTAATTCACTTGAAGCCGGTGTCATATTACTGCCTGATACGTTTAATGCGTGCCAGAAAACGTTTGCCTGCTTTATTTTCCATTAAGTGACTCAGGAATGACTTCTGCATCCCTTAAGACAGTAAAACTATTCCTATGTTCTTCTTCTTCACTGTTTGTTTAAATCAGATCTGTCTATCTTCCCACACAGAGGCCATTCCTCTCTTATACTCCATCACTCCATCAAGAAGAGAAATGATGCACACAATCATATGAAATGATGTAAGTATCTCTAATTAGATTTTATTAGGGCTTGGATTTTAGCATGGCTTCATTTGACTGTTGCTTTCAAAGTGATTAATGAATTGTTAATGAGATGTAATTTGTATTTCTGTGAGTAATTTGGTCATTTTGTTGTGGAATATGTACAACTAGCCAAGTTATATTGCACAAACATTGCACAGTATTACACAATATTGCCCTTTTCTTGAAATCTTGATGTTAAAAAAAGACAAAAGTCCTTTAAGAGATGAGTTTGATGACACATTCTTCTAACTTCCTTTTCTTAACGTTTTCCAAACTATGTAGCTTGATGGGTAGAGGCATGCCGTGTGGTTTTAAGCAATCTTACTTAAACTTTTCTACTGAAAATAGACTTTGGGATGCACCATATATCGTTACCATATTGCTTATTGACTAATATTACAGATTTTTACATTTATCAGTATCAGATGATATTGGATATTTATCGTCTGATATTGGATGTTTAATTGTGTGTGTTAATTTACCTTAAAAAACGGATAGTTCCGGTCCTCGATTCTGATTGGTTGAGCCAAGTTCGAAGCTGTTGTAAATTACTCTACAAACATTATTCTTCCGGCAGCCTTCCACCTCCCCATCTCCTCCTCTATTTCTGTTATTCTCCCTCTATGTAGTACTGCAGTGGGGATTTAAACTTGGAGCTTAAGCGGAGCATTGGGTTCAAGTTTTCATTGAGGACAGCAAACCAAGTTCGTTTACCATTAACCATCAGGACTGGATGGGCAGGCAAACTCGTGAACCACATTTAGAGGGGTAGTTCACCCAAAAATGAAAACTGTCATCATTTACTCACCCTCAAGTTGTTATAAACCTGCATGACTTTCTATCTTTTGTTAAAAAAAGATGTTTTAAAGAATGTGGGTAACCAAACAGTTGTTGGTCGCCAGTGACTTTTATAGTGTTAAAAAAATACAATGGAAGTCAATGGGGACCAGAAGCTTTTTGGTAGAGTACATAAACACATTAAAAAAATCAAGCACATAAAATTACTAAAACTCAAACAAAAATGAAAATGCCTTGTTGGCAGAGGCTATTTACACTAACTCTGCCCACCAACTTGTGATTGGGATAGTCAACACTTACAAAAGACGGCTGTCAATCGTCAGCTCCAGTGGCGTAGATGGTAAAGCACGTTCTGCAGTCTTTTTGGCGCGATCGACCCGAGTTCGAACCCACCTTTTGCAAAACTTTTTTTTCCTCTCTTTAAAATCTCATATCACATAGGAAAGGCATTTATTTTCAATAAAAATGAAGGAAATAATTAAAAAGTTTAAAATAGGTTAGGTGTAGGGAGGGCTTTATTGACTCAGTACGGTGGCATCCATTTAATAATTTGAAATAAAATAAAATTTTAAATAAATTTACACTCAATACGTTATTATTGCATAATGTGTTATAATGTACTACGATACTGAGGTGCAGATAATTGCCACTATTTGCATTAAGTAGTATAAATAGCAGAAAATCCTGCTATTTTAACATAGTGTAAATAGAATCTATAGCTATTTGCTCATAGTGTAAATAGCATATCGCTAAAAAATACTGCTATGTTCACTTAGTGTAAATAGCATCTAATTGCTCTTTGCACTTAGTGTAAATGGCCTCTATCACTATTTACACTTAGTCAAATAGCCACTGCCTTAATAAGTATTCGTATGTAAATCATACTAATCAATAGCAACAAGCTAGCATTGTGATGCTGATGTTATTTAGGCTCCATTCAGAATTTAATAAGAAAATTTAAAAATCTAGTTAATTTAGCTCAAAGCATTTAAAAAACAAAACAAAACAACAACATCAACAGAAGTGCTTTTGACTCAGGCAGCACTGGAATGGGACTTTGTCATATAATGAGTAAACTAAACGCTGTCATGCTGTTTGAGCTTGAAGATTTGACTATTCCATTGTGGAAGAAGATAGTGAGTCATATCCATACTGAACCATTTTACAGATGTCCTCTCTTTCCCGCAGGTCTCTGTTTATCATGCTTGCTCTTCTTGTGAATTTCATTACCATTTCACAAGGTGAGTCGTTGATGCATTAAGCTAATATTACACTTCCTGTTTTCATGCAAATTCTGTATCTAGCGTCTTTTCATTGTTTTCCATTTCCTATTTGCTGTCGAAGCAAAGACCTACATAGCATGCTGGATACCCACCAGCTGTCAGCAGTCCCTCTGCCCACCTCAGAGATGCATTAGTGTGGGTTATGGTTGAACGCACAGAGTGCAGGAGGCTGATGAATGGACAGAGAGATAGAAGAAGACAGAGAGGTAGTGAGAGAGAGAGAGAGGTAGATTGAAAGTAAGGGGTGTAGGAGGGAGGTGATTACACCCACATCATGAATCAGACTATAAACTTTTAACGCCTAGGGGCCTATAGACAGATGTACAGATGAGAAAGGGCGTAGGCCTTCAGGGTAACAGTGCAGTTGGTAACTGAAGATGATATGTGTTGTCGCTTTGAATAATGTTAAATTAAAATGGATATTGTAATTATTTAAATGAATAGGGATGGACAATATATCAGTGCCACATCGATTATCAGATTATATTTGTAATTTAAAAAAAAAATATTAGTATTGATCAGTGTTTATATAACATAAACTGTGAATATGCATTTTACCCATTTACATTTAGATTACTTTTTCCATCATCTAACACTTTAACACAATAACTTAGTTACTCTTTAAAAAATAATTTGATAACATTGCTATAATATTTAGAAAATCTCAAAATTAATATCTATATTTCATATTGAACCATAAGATATATTGTTGTGATGCCTAAATCGAAAATTATTGAAATTATTGAACTATTTTAGTTTTTATTTTTAGTTAATTTATTTAGGAAAATAGTAATATCAGCCATTTATCACAAAAATAATTTGGCCAGAAATGTATACATTTTGATGCCAAAATATTTATCCTAGCATAATATGCAGGGACAACTGTGAGCATGCCATTTGATATAAAATGTCAATACTGTGTCACTATTGCTCTGTTTGATCATCCTGGCCAGCCCGACACAGTAACACAATTATTGGCATTTATTTGGGGGCGGGGTCATCTGTCTTACAACCAGTGGAAGTTGGGGGAGTGTTTGGGAAACTTGTTTCAAAATAGTCATTATTTTTGCAATTCCATGCGGTAAATCTAGTGGTGCAGAAAGTTAACACAATACATTTAATACATTAATTTTGCTCTTTTTTAAAAACGAAATTGAAATGTTAAGATTTTCTTGAGTAAGTACACAGTTTTTTAAAGGGGTTATATGATGTTGCTAAAAAGAACATTATTTTGTGTATTTGGTGTAATGAAATGTGTTTATGCGGTTTAAGGTTAAAAAAACACATTATTTTCCACATACTGTACATTATTGTTGCTCCTCTATGCCCCGCCTTTCTGAAACATGTCGATTTTTACAAAGCTCATCGTTCTGAAAAGCGAGGTGTGCTGTGATTGGCCAGCTATCCACTGCGTTGTGATTGGCCCAGGATATAAATTATTGATATCAAGAATAATATTTTTTACTAGTAGAAATGTAATTGCTGATATCAAAAATTCAATTTCTGCGAGTGATGATGTCATTGTTGATATCAAGAATTAACATTGTTACTAGTGGAAATGTAATTGCTGATATCAAAAATAGCAATTGTTACTAGTAGAAATCTAATTCCTGATATCAAGAATTAACATTTTAACTAGTAAAAATTGAATTGTTGATATCAAGAATTCATATCCTGAGAATGAATAAAAGTCAAAACGGCTTGCCATAGCCCGTCACGTGGGAGCCTCCTCGCGCTCACTTTAGGTGATGACAGCATGTTGAGATCATGCGGATGACGTAATGTCGCTAAACTGCAACAGTGTGAGTGATACATTTTATTCAATTACCGATGACTCATTATTCAGTATATTTAATTATTACCCTTTACAGATCTTTTGAAACAATAAAATAACTATAGTATATCATTGTTAAAAATACCACATTATCAACATTTGTGAGAACTGTCAGCTGAAAGATATTATTTTTTGCTCTTGTGTAGCTTGTTCTTAGGCGCTTACGACTGAAAATAAATAAATAAAATAAATATAACCAGAATATATTTAGTCTAGCCGAGTGAATTTCACTGGAAGAGTAGCCTACAATAAAGAAGTATTCAGACATTTCCTCTAGGAAGGTGTGCACGTTGTTATGCTGCAGACTTTCTTTCCCTTGCCAAAAATTAAACAATGAAGATGATTATGGTGTGACGCAATACGCTCCGTAGCTGGTGCCCCTCCCTCACAGCGGCGGCGGCGACAGCGCTCGAGCTCAGGAGGAAAGTCTCACGCCTCTCCTAGTCTGTATAACCGACCACAGACACTCTTCATTACAGGAAGAAAGAAGCGCCAAACTCTGGAATTTGAGCCTTTTCCTCGTTTTTAAGCGAAGTAGGATACGTACAGTAAGACGTTGCCAGTGTAGCAGAATCAAATCCACGGACAGCCAGAGTGCGATCACCTCAGGTGAGACATTCTGCACATATTTCACAGAGCTCAAGCGGATGATCTCAGGCAGCTGTAATAGCGGTAAAACGGTCCTTCACTTTTAGCAAGCCACTTTATCGCGCTTGAGATCTTTTAATCATAAAACCACGAAGACCTATTTATTGGTTTCCTATTTCTTTACTCACCGTTTGTAGTTTAGTGGCCTGTTTTGTGCGTGCTTATCCAAACAGTCTTAAGTGTTCACTGGATAATGTTCTTCCAGATTAATGTTACACTGACACGATTCATGTTGTGGTTTTACTTAGTAGCTGAATATCAGTGGCAGTATTATTCATTATCTTGGAGTTTCCCCCTTTGTGTCCGGAGCAATGTCAGTGTTTCCGTGGCCATTATAGCGATGTCCAAATCGTGAACGAATTGTTCTGTTGAGTTGGAACTTTTAATGAATCTTTTGAACCGGTTTACATATCTGTCCGAGCAGTTCGCGAGTCAACTACTCACTGAACTGACTCATTAAACTGATTCATCTCTTTTGGATGTGTCCGATCACAGTGAACAGAAGGGCTGAATGAGCTTATAGTCAAGTGGAGTGAACTGAGGATTTGAAGGGGGAAAAAGTTACAAGCGTAACAGTAAACGTTACAAATAAATGCAATGGAAATGCAATATGCTTACAGCTTCATTGTATGGCCGTTTTATTAACCCATACGAAACAAATAAGAGATGGCCACAGAACTTCTGGTGCAGCACAGTGTATGGAAATTGTGAGAAAATCCAGCACAAAATGTAATCTTAAGGAAGTGTTACATGACAGTACAAAGTAATATTGTACGAATCACCTTTACACTAAAGCTATGTAGAGCTTCTTGAACTCATAATTATGGTTGTATGGTTTAACATAATATATTAAAATTTTATTTTTTACTAGTTAATAATATATAAAATATAGCTACTGTATTATAATATAATGTAATTTATGACAGAAAGAGTTTGCTACTACCATAGCTTGTTATGAGAGAATGCTATACCAGAAGCTTGCGTACTACAGTGGAAATATATATTTTTAATTTGATTATATTATTCATAATGCTTAAATTTTGTCAACACCACCAAAATGAATACTAACATCTCAAAGCTGATGCACTCAATGTGTTGCTTGCTTTGACTATTGCAGTGAGGAGGGAAACAGTGATACACTGAAGCCACTCAATGGAAAACAAAGTCCAGATGTACTAGGATAGGTCTTCTGTCTAACTTGAATGTGATGTTATTTTTTTAAACCAGTTTTTGAAAGGAACCCATCAAGTAGAGAAAATCTGTTGGATGTGGCATCGCATTTGACTGTGTAGTAAATGAAAAGAGGAATTATTCCAGTTGATTATTAACTCTGATACATTGATCAATTCTTAATCCTCTAATTAGAAATCATTGTATCTAAAATGGTTAAAGATCTGGGCTTGTTCTGAAAGATTTTGGGTTCAAATCCCTTTAGAGCACTAATTATCACCGTTGTGCCACTTTAAATTGGTCATTTAGGGGTTAACATTAATTGTTCGTTTTTATTTATTTATTTATTTATTTATTTTTAACATTTCCCAGTTCTGCACCATTTAATTCACACGTAGGTTAAACATAAGACCTATCCCAGAACATCTGGACTCTGTTTTCCATTGAGTGGCTTCACAATATTACAGTTTTCCCTCCACATTGCAATAGTCAAAGCAAGCAAAACACTGAAAGTATCAGCTTTGAGATGTTCTAGTATTCTGCCCGATTTAATATTCATTTTGGTGAGCATTTGGTTTTATGTTGTTGACACAAAATTGAACATCACGAAAGTTGTTTGATATTTGATAGGGGACTTTACATGAATATATGAGATGTTCACAAGAGCCTTCCTGGAAAAAAGGCTTTACTGAAGTGAATGGCCACTTGCCTTGTCTCCCTGCATATTCACGTCCGACCTGTTTTTATGTCATATTATCTTATATCATGTTTGGTTCAGCAGCAACTCCAGGTGGCTCTAGCAGATAGTGTAGCTGTAGAAAGCATTGCATTGTGGGGCCTGTAGTGTTTTATTTGCAGTTTATGAAGCATTGTTATTTATTTTTTGTATGCATTTACTCATTCATTAGGTCACTTGTGTTCTGACTCATCATCGCAGCATTGTGGCAAAACAGGTTTTAGATTTCACAATGTTGCTCAGAATAAAATGCCAGGAAATGCTAAACATGGGTGTTGCTGTCGTTAACATGTTTGCGCAGGCACACAATCAAAACAGTGTTGCGCTTTGTTAATTTAACCTAGCATTTCAGTACATCCGAACTGAGGATATGGAAAGCAAGAGGGAAGCAGTCATGCATGTTATTGCCTTGTACAAGAAAGGTGACTTGTCTCGTCAGAGAGCGTAAGCCAGGGAATCAAAAGCAAATATAGTCAGAGCAGAGTAATTCACTTGAAGCCGGTGTCATATTACTGCCTGATACGTTTAATGCGTGCCAGAAAACGTTTGCCTGCTTTATTTTCCATTAAGTGACTCAGGAATGACTTCTGCATCCCTTAAGACAGTAAAACT